AATAACTTGACATCCTGCATCAGTCATATATAGTATAAATAACTTATAAAAGAACGTGAACTGTAGGGAATTAACCAACATTTGTCAAGAAGTGGCCATATTGTACATATAATACGCTGATTATTGTTGTTTTATTTGTTTTGAACATTTCCGGGCCTGATTTTCGAAGGTTGAACGACGGAGTAATAACTATTGCCTTTGAGAATCCTTTGAGAAATTTTCGGGGGAAAACAATCCTCCAGCATCACAGCAGATTTAATAATGGAAACCATTGGCCAAGCACACTAGTATTAGAACCTATTGTACACTGAAGTTAAAATGGAAGACGGTGTATTTCTTCCACTCGTTTGTTAGTTGCTTTATTACACTTTCTTCGTTACGGTCTGTTGCATGAAGTTTTATCTTTTAACTTAAAATAATTAAAATATACTAATTAGAATTATCATCAATATAATCATAAATACGAGACAAATTACAATACCAGACTAGCATTGATAACTAAAAAAAAGACGAAAACCAACTGAAAAGGGGAACATTAAAAAAAAAAAAATCAAAAATTCTTCACATTATGTAGCAAAAGATAGTCACCATTTTGCCTCGAGGAGAAGGGGTTAACAGCAAAAAGAGGCTTGTCACTGGAAGATTTGCAACTGAAGATTTACGGACCTCTGATCATGTTCTGGAACTATTTTTTAGTTAATACATCGTTTGTTTTAGAAGACTGCAATCATTTTTAGAATGAAGTGCCATGAAGAAATGTGTGCATCATTATTATTATTTATTTTAGAATCCAGTCCACTCAATGTTTCGAGACTGAAGTTAGCGTCATGCTTCATGGGTTCGATATTAGAGATCAGTAACGCTTCAGGAATATCCTATCCGTCCTGTCACGTGGGTTTAAATCTTCCACTTCACAAAGCAGTATAAAAACATTATGGTTTCTTCACTTTTATTTTTTTTCAAATTAGTTTGGGCCATACACAGTCTTTCACAATCACAAGTTACATATTTTGTCTAACACATCTTCCTCACCTTACTTCTCTCATTCTAAGCCCAGTGTCTGATAGCAAAACTGTCGACAGAAGGATTGTCTTAGGGTTCTCCACCAGCCTGGAGTAACTAGAGTAATGCATTATTTCTTTCCTCTATTTTTGGCACTGGAAAATTCTTTAAGCAAAGTATATAGCCAAAAACTTGGCACTGGGATTGGCACAGATTATTTGGCACTGAGGCTTGGTCACAGCAACTGCAAAACACTATTGATATGAAAATTGGTGAGTGGGAAATCATTCAGTTTTTTTCCTGATTATTGTAAAGAAAATTCCTGTCTGCATCTTCATCTCTCCAGGCCAGTATGCTCAACAAACACCATTGCACAAACACTTCATTCATATTGCACAGTCTGTAGCCACAAGGTGCATTGCACTCTCAGACTTGCTAAGGATCTAAATCAACAAACATAAAAAAGAAATCAGTTCACACTACAATTACATATATATAAAAAATCATGGGAATGTAAAGCATTGGGAGAACTTACATTACGTTACGTACGAGACATCACAAACTATGAGAAAAGAAGTAAGTTTACAAGGTGCCACTTGTCTCTCATATCACTTAGGGAGAGAACAATAGTACTTTAAATTCAAGTAGCATCACATACAGATGTGCACAACTCTCCAAGAACTGCGACAACAGTGCTTGTTACGTACTGTTGCCATGCAAGTGGGACAGTGGTATCCCTACGAACAGATCTTTTATGGTGATTGAATGTCGATATCTTTTGTCTCTTAATTTTCTACATCAGGTCAGAGAAGAAGAATTTCTTCATTTGTTTGTTTTATTGTCAGCCGCATTTGTTTTTTTGCAGAAGTGTCATAGTGTAGAGTAGGTGTCAAGCAACTAGAGCATAGGCACCCCATCTGTTAATGCAGTAAAAAGTTATAAAATACCAATATCTTCCCAAGCAATGTATACAAAACTGTACGTAAGAAGCAAACTGCGTCGAAGTTAGAGAGGCTACACAATTTTTTTTTCATTCTAAACAAAAAAACGTCAGCACATAACGCATCAGTCTCCTAACACGTTTCAGCAAATGAGATCTTGTACAGTTTGCCAAATCCTGGTGCTTGCTGCAGAGACTGGAGGCACTGTCGTGGGGTGTGACTGCTGATTTATGCTGATGTTGCGCCTGGTGCTACGCTGCTCTCGTTGCTGTTGCTATTGCAGTTTTACAACTTGAGTCACTGTGACGATTTGCTGGACACCACCACCTATAGCGCCATCAGCACGCGCTGCACTGACATAAGAGGGTGCTCGGTGGTATTGTTAAAAGCGTGGTGCAAGTTTCATTACTGTAGAGGTTGTCTCTCAAGCCAGGGACTTGCTATTCATGCCTTTATGTTATACACTGTACTTTTCACCCACATTTCTATCACTAGCTTCCTACACTTGTTCTAATCCTCACGAACTACTGACCTTTCCATTCAGAGAAAATAATCAGTGCCGTACAAGATGTTAAACCACCGAGGTTCTGAGAATAAAATCTTCATGGGCATCACAACTAGTGTATAGAAGATGGAGGTAGTGTGAACATTGGCAGTCAAGCAGTTCCTGGAATGAACATCTTTCTACTATGTGAGAGGAAACTGGTTAGTGGATGTGCTCAGCATAGTCTCTGCGCAGTAACCAGTACCTGGCTCGACCAAACAGCGTAGTGACCTCCTAAGGTTCACCCTCGGACATCACCTTCTAGGAAAAGAATCCAGCAAGGGAAAATTCCGTCACGTTCTTAAGTAACCTCATGGGATTGATTGACCAGAAGCAACCTTCCATGTTAAGTACAGACTCCAAAAGAGGCGTTTCGTCACTGGCAACTTCTTGAGGGTAGCTTCCAAAGAAAGGCTCCTTGGCGTAATATTAAACAGTAACGGTACCTGTTCGCGGATGTCCTTAATTACAAAAGCCTCTCAAGGGTGACATACTAAGGACAACTCAGTTCACTTCAGAACTTCACGAGACTCACCAGTGACAGCTTCTTAAAGTAACTTTCAAGGGTAAAGTGCCCATTTCCATCTGATATCCTTAATCATCAATCCTCAGAGGACTTCCTTCAAGGCGGATTTCCAAGAAGCACGTTTCATGTGCAGGATCTCTCAAGCTAACGAGCTACGTTCTTCTTGAAGTCCTGCGACACATTTGCTCCAAGAAAATCCTTCACGGACTTCTGGCCTCCTTGCTGATGACTCAGAAGATGTAACTGCCAAGGACTGATTGCTTGGAATGATCCCCATAGGAAGAACTCAGGATGACCTGAGGGTGACCTCTCAAGGCGACCTCCCAAGGGCAACATCCTGGGGGTGCGTATTTTAATGTGGGGCTCACCGGTGCACCCCACAAAAGCTTAACATTATTATAATTACATAATAAAATTCTTTGGAATGATTATTTACATTATATACAAACACACACACAAGAAAACAGTACAAAACATAATCTTTACAACAATAAAAAGTAAATTAGCTTTGATTTTGCAGAGATGAAAGCATAAACCTCTACACCTTGGTGCTAATATCACGGTAGCGCCTGTGCCCGGACCCGACCATTATGGGTCCAGGGGCGAAGGTGACAGCTGCGAGCACGCTAGCATTAAAATATCCTTCTTCTCCTTGGGGAAGCGGAGCTCTCGGCCCGCCAAGCGAGCGGCCTCGAGCTCGCGTTCGCTCTGGCCGAGCTCGCGGGAGATCACGCCGGGGTTCTCCTGCTCGCGGGCGATCCAGTCGAGCGCCATCTGCGAGCGCATGTCGTCGTCCAGCGCGCGGTGCGAGTAGTGGGCCACCACCTCCTGCCTGGAGCACTGCCTCTCTCGCATGGCCTTCAGGGAGCCATTCCAGTGCAGGAGCTGGAACACAGTCATCAGCTCCTGGAACTCGAGCATCGTGCGCCCCTTGTTGGTCTCGAGCATGAAGCGGAAAGCACCGATTCCCGTACTCGGGTTGTCAGCCTCGTCGGGGTCACCCTGGGGGAGGGACAAGTCAGCTACGTGCTGGAAAGAAAAATAGACCTTTCGTCCCTCTCAGTCTTTGGTGGCCCTACATGTGACATGAACAATGACTCGCTTTTCTGCTCTCATAGGCTTTCTTTTACTTTTAGGTTTGAGTTTTTATTCTATAAATTGTGACATTCAAGTCAAGGTTGAATATGGCCTGATAAGCCAAGAAGTTAAAAATTGAAGATCAAAACAATAATTGAAAGTAAATAAAACTATACTTACTAATTTGCCTCTAAATCAAACTCATATTTACCATGCATGTTATCATCTCACATTTATCAGCAAAATATATTGCAGACCTAGCTTTCGTCAATCAGAATCAAATTCTACTAACATACTTCTACAAAAAAAAAAACATCTCTCCCACACCTAAAATATTTACTAACTTCGCCACGCTTGAATACGACCCCAAAATTTACCGAATACAGGCCCGTTTCTTCTTTTGGAAGATTAATGAACTTGCAAGCATACAAATCAGGAATCTATCTTCCTGGTCAATGCCCTCAGCTGCCCCCCCCCCTCCCAGATGGCCCCATACTTTCAGCTGGTCCCGTTTCCCAGCTGGGTCTACCTCCTAGCTTCCTGGCCTTGCCTCCCTTCCCACTTGTCTTGCGTCCCTTTCCACCCTCGCACTTAACCTTATCTCCACCTCAACCTCATCTACCACACTCCATCGCCCAGTTAGTATCATTCCCAACAAGTACCTAGTACAATCCCTGCCTAGTACCATCCCCACCTAGAACAATCCCTGCCTAGTACCACCCCCACCTAGAACAATCCCTGCCTAGTACCATCCCCACCTAGTACAATCCCTGCCTAGTACCACCCCACCTAGAACAATCCCTGCCTAGTACCATCCCCACCTAGAACAATCCCTGCCTAGTACCACCCCCACCTAGTACAATCCCTGCCTAGTACCATCCCCACCTAGTACAATCCCTGCCTAGTACCACCCCCACCTAGTACAATCCCTGCCTAGTACCACCCCCACCTAGTACAATCCCTGCCTAGTACCATCCCCACCTAGTACAATCCCTGCCTAGTACCACCCCCACCTAGAACAATCCCTGCCTAGTACCATCCCCACCTAGTACAATCCCTGCCTAGTACCATCCCCACCTAGTAACAATCCCTGCCTAGTACCATCCCCACCTAGTACAATCCCTGCCTAGTACCATCCCCCACCTAGTAACAATCCCTGCCTAGTACCATCCCCACCTAGTACAATCCCTGCCTAGTACCATCCCCACCTAGTACAATCCCTGCCTAGTACCATCCCCACCTAATGCAATCCCTGCCTAGTACCACCCCCACCTAGTACAATCCCTGCCTAGTACCATCCCCACCTAGTACAATCCCTGCCTAGTACCATCCCCACCTAATGCAATCCCTGCCTAGTACCACCCCCACCTAGTACAATCCCTGCCTAGTACCATCCCCACCTAGTACAATCCCTGCCTAGTACCATCCCCACCTAGTACAATCCCTGCCTAGTACCATCCCCACCTAGTACAATCCCTGCCTAGTACCATCCCCACCTAGTACAATCCCTGCCTAGTACCATCCCCACCTAGTACCATCCCTGCCTAGTACCATCCCCACCTAGTACAATCCCTGCCTAGTACCATCCCCCAACCTAGTACACATCCTGCCTAGTACCACCCCCACCTAGAACAATCCCTGCCTAGTACCATCCCCACCTAGAACAATCCTGCCTAGTACCATCCCCACCTAGTACAATCCTGCCTAGTACCATCCCCACCTAGAACAATCCCTGCCTATACCATCCCCACCTAGTACATCCCTGCCTAGTACATCCCCACCTAGTACATCCCTGCCTAGTACATCCCCACCTAGTACAATCCCGCCTAGTACCATCCCCACCTAGTACAATCCCTGCTAGTACCATCCCCACCTAGAACAATCCCTGCCTAGTACCATCCCCACCTAGTACAATCTCTGCCTAGTACCACCCCCACCTAGAACATCCCTGCCTAGTACATCCCCACCTAGTACAATCCCTGCTAGTACCATCCCCACCTAGTACAATCTCTGCCTAGTACCACCCCCACCTAGTACAATCTCTGCCTAGTACCACCCCCACCTAGTACAATCCCTGCCTAGTACCACCCCCACCTAGTACAATCTCTGCCTAGTACCACCCCCACCTAGAACAATCCCTGCCTAGTAACCATCCCCCACCTAGTAACAATCCCTGCCTAGTACCATCCCCACCTAGAACAATCCTGCCTAGTACCACCCCCACCTAGAACAATCCCTGCCTAGTAACCATCCCCCACCTAGTACAATCTCTGCCTAGTACCACCCCCACCTAGAACAATCCCTGCCTATACCATCCCCACCTAGTACCATCCCTGCCTAGTACCATCCCCACCTAGTACAATCCTGCCTAGTACCACCCCCACCTATACAATCCCTGCCTAGTACATCCCCACCTAGTACAATCCTGCCTAGTACCATCCCCACTAGTACAATCCCTGCTAGTACCATCCCCACTAGTACAATCCCTGCCTATACCACCCCCACCTAGAACATCCCTGCCTAGTACCACCCCCACCTAGAACATCCCTGCCTAGTACATCCCCACCTAGTACAATCTCTGCCTAGTACCACCCCCACCTAGAACAATCCCTGCCTATACCACCCCCACCTAGTACAATCCCTGCCTATACCATCCCCACCTAGAACAATCCCTGCCTAGTAACCATCCCCCACCTAGAACAATCCCTGCCTAGTACATCCCCACCTAGTACAATCCTGCCTAGTACCATCCCCACCTAGTACATCCCTGCCTAGTACCACCCCCACCTAGTACAATCCCGCCTAGTACCATCCCCACTAGTACAATCCCTGCTAGTACCATCCCCACCTAGTACAATCCTGCCTAGTACCATCCCCACCTAGTACAATCCCTGCCTATACCATCCCCACCTAGTACCATCCCTGCCTAGTACATCCCCACCTAGTACCATCCCTGCCTAGTACCATCCCCACCTAGTACAATCCTGCCTAGTACCATCCCCACCTAGTACAATCCCTGCCTATACCATCCCCACCTAGTACCATCCCCACCTAGTACAATCCCGCCTAGTACCATCCCCACCTAGTACAATCCCTGCCTAGTAACCATCCCCCACCTAGTACAATCCCTGCTAGTACCATCCCCACCTAGAACAATCCCTGCCTAGTAACCATCCCCCACCTAGTACAATCCCTGCCTAGTACCACCCCCACCTAGAACAATCCCTGCCTAGTACATCCCCACCTAGTACAATCCTGCCTAGTACCATCCCCACCTAGTACCATCCCTGCCTAGTACCACCCCCACCTAGAACAATCCCTGCCTAGTAACCATCCCCCACCTAGAACAATCCTGCCTAGTACCATCCCCACTAGTACAATCCCTGCCTAGTACCACCCCCACCTAGTAC